AGTAGTAGTAGTAGTAGTAGTAGTAGTAGTAGTAGTAGAGTAGTAGTAGTAGTAGTAGTAGTAGTGAGTAGAGTAGTAGAGAGAGAGAGAGAGAGAGAGAGAGAGAGAGAGAGAGAGAACTGTAGGGCTTTAATTCATATTGGGGTTTCTTGGTTCTCTAAAATTGATGGTTCCCCTTTTCTTTTGTGTTCCTTTTTGCAGTGAAATGCAAGGTGAATTGAGAAGCAAGAAAGATGGAGATGGGTTGGGTGAGGTTTGGTGCTTAGATGAGATTGCAATGGAGAAGAAGCAGAGCTTGAGTTGTTGTGCAGATTGTTCTTCAAAATTCGAGAAAGAAGCTCGAGATTTAGTGAAGAGAGTGGATGATGATGATGAGTCTTGCCCCACTTCTTCTAATTTGCCTGCATGGCTCCAACAATACAAGGACGAAAACAGAAGACTGACTTCCAATGATCCCGTAATTATCCTTTCTCCTGAGTTTTCAGAAGATCACCTGAGCTCACCATTTTATTATTCTTCATCCTCCAATTTTCTCTCTCCTCTCTCTTTCTCTCTCTACTCTCTACTCTCTAGTCTCTACATGGGTCTCTCTCTCTTCATATTTCATCATTCTCTGTGGGCCTCTCTCTCTCTTCAGTCTCTTCTTGGGTTTCTCTCTCCACCCTCCCCTTCTCTCTCTCTCTCTCTCCCTCCACTCTTGATATTGATTTTTTTTGTGTTTTTCATGTAAACAGGACTGTCATCAAGTGAGAGAACTGAGCAAGAAGTGGAACTCCATATGCAACTCTATTCACAAACAGCAGAGCTCAAGAGAGAGAAGCATGGCTTTCTCTTCCCTGTCTCAATCTTCTTCTCTCTCAAGCTATGGGCAGTTCTACCACAACTGGACCAGCCCTAATCAGCATTGGAGAAACCACAACCAATTGTGGATCTCTTCAAAGGAGAGCTCCACAGATCTCAGAGAAGAAAATGGTGAGCCGACAGCAGCACCGATCCTTTCTCTCTCTACAAGCACCAACCCGGCGAACGCTAACCCCAACCCCAACTCCTCCTCATCCACCGAAACCATGGACACAGACTCTCACAAAGCAAAGCAGCTCAATGCAGAAACCCTAAAGACACTTTATGATGGTCTTGAGAAGAGAGTGCCATGGCAAAAACACATCATGAAAGAAATAGCCATCACAGTCTTGGAGTGCAGGTCTCGTCTCACAAAGAGATCAACACCAAGTTCTAGAGAGAGAAAGCAAGATATGTGGCTACTGTTCAAAGGCTCTGATTCTCAAAGTAAAGAGAAAATAGCAAGAGAGTTGGCAACCCTAATCTTTGGCTCCGAATCGAGCTTCTTATCGATAAGTCCGAGCTTTCCAGCCATGGAAAGAGGAAAGAGAAGTAGAGAAGAACCATGCTTCGTCCATCTAGAGAGATTTTCAGAAGCCATTACTGAAAACCCACATAGAGTAATATTCATGCCTGGTTTTGAGCAATCTGATCATTATTTTCAAATGGGTTTGAAGAGAGTTTTAGAGAGAGGAAAGGTGATCGACTCCAATGGCCAAGAAACCAGCATTTGTGATGCGATAATTGTATTGGGGTGTGAGAGTTTAGAGAGAGAAAGTAGGGATTTCTCTGCTCTAACAAGACAGAGATCAGAATCAAGTGTTGAAATGAATGAGAAGGCAATGGATATTTTGTCTTTAGATTTGAACATTTGTGCAGAGGACGAGGATCGAACTTGTGACCTCGAGCTCGCAAAGTTTGTTGATGGATGTTTCGTGCTCGACGTTGAAGGGGGCAGAAGCGAAAATTAACAGAGTTTTAGGACTGTTCGTTTTCGTGGTTTTGTTTTGTAAATTATCATTTTCACGTCATACATGGATTGCATTGAGACTTCTCCTCTTTTCTCTCTCTCTAACACAGTCTTAGTACTGTTTTTTTTTTGTGGTTTTGTTTTGTAAATTATCAGTTTCAGGTCATACATGGATTGGATTGAGCATGCAACTTTCTCTCTCTCGGGTTTCTGATATTTTTTAGGACCTTGGTCTTTGTGGCTTGGTGTGAATAAATTTGAAAAAAAAAATAGCTGCCTGTTTTATTTATTCTTTTTTGGTTTTTGGTATTCACTTTTTGGCCTTTTCAAAAAAGGTGTTACTTTTTAGCTTCCTTGGGAGGAGCATTTGAGGCAAAGAGGGTTTGTTTAGGAAAGACTCCATTCAATGGGTGAGCGGTATGATATTCATTTTAATATAATGTGGGGGCCATATTCTCATGTTTGCATGATAATGAGATATAAAAGATGAAAATATATTTATGTTAAAGGATGTAAAAGATGAAAATATATTTATGTCAAAGGATTGTGTTTTAGCCAGTCTGGTCTAATATAAAAATGATTTTGTTAAAGAACCAGTCAGACCATTATTTAAACAGTTTTTGCCTGCCAGACCAGCCGTTTCTAATTGGCTCATTTGGAAATTTTTTATATATTTTATTGTTAAAATTATTGTTGTTATTTTTATTTTATTTTTTTAAAATCTTGTCCAACCGATTTGACTAGTAGTTGGACTGATTTTGGTTGAACTAGATCCCTTACTAGTTTGCTTGCTGGTCCCACACAAAATAAAAATAGGGTACAACAGCTTGTAGGAAAAAAACAATAATAGTTATACTAAAAATTTAATTAAGCAATAATTTTGAAGGCGATGATAAAAATTATAATACGGTTGTTTCCGATTGGGACCCTTTTCTTGAAACTTAGTTTACAAATATTTTCTTTTGTAAGTTTCGTAGTCTCTTTCTCATTTATTTTCTGAAAATGATAAAAAATATAGAACATTTGTTGACACGTACGCATGAGGAAAAAGAAGGCATAAAAAAGAGTATAAGTTTTTTTGGGTAATTCAATGACCGGTCCTACCCATTTTTTCAAATAATTTAGGAGTTAATTTGTTTTGAAGGTGTTAATAGACAATACAAATAATTTAGGAGTTAATTTGTTTTGAAGGTGTTAATAGACAATACAGGGGGAATCGAAACTACAACATGGTGACTAGAGTGTGGAGATGCTACCAACATGACTCCTGCCCTTTTTCCAATGGAGTAAGAGTTAGGCAATCAGGAGGTATATATTCACCTCTTACAAATATCAGAAAAAAGCTAAATAGTTATGATAAGTGACAACAATAGTGAACTGAACCCCTTTTGTAAAGGTAGGCATTTTTTAATTTTCTTTGGATTTCAAAGTATTCCCAATCCACTTTTACAGAGACATAAGAGATATTGAATGATGGGACTTTCACACTAATGCGGAGGCTTCTTCTCTTAGAAGAAAACTAAGAGAGAAGCATAACTTGAATGACTCCAAAATTGCGCGGTGCAAGTCAAAATGTAAACTATGATAGAGACCACCAAAAGAAAAAAGAAAATGGAAGATCTTTTCAAGGAATGCATACTGTTATTTTGAATATCACGACACTTGTTTTTTTATTCTTCCAGTAAAAACTGTTATTTCTGATATATTGAAAATAAAGGCCACTATTTTTGTTTTCTTTCATTATTCAAAATATATTAACGCTTTGCCTATGTTTCGATTTAATTTCAAAATGCAGATGATTCAATGTTGGAAACTCGGAATAGTAGGAAAAGTATAAAATATTAAATAGTTGAAAAATAAGGTGTACTTTTGATAAATTTTCCTTTTAATAATGAACTTGGGAACTGTTTATCATGGCCGTTAGATAGTTACATAATGGCTGTTTAATTATACAAAATAACCATTATTCAGTGTACCGACCTTTTTTTTTTAAAGGATTCTATGATATGAGACTATTTATCTTTACGACAAGGGGTCACAATTACTCCAAGATATTAAATATCAAATTGGATGACTTGTGGTGTTTAACAAAAATAATTTTTTTATTTTGAAATTTTGATACACTCTTATAATCCCTCAATTTGAAAACCGATAGATAAGAGTAATTATGAATTCCTCGTATTAAAAAGTAAATGGTCACTTTATGTACATTTCTCTTTTTCAAACCCAGTATTGTTTACCCTTTTGTAACTCGGTGATAGTGGCATTAGAGCTGTAGAAGTCATTAATCCATTGTAACAGCTGTTTTCTACTCCATAAGCAAAAAGCTTGAAAAAAATGGTGTTGCTATTTATAACTTTATAAAAATCACGAGTCCATTTTTGGTGAATGCGAGACCTACACTGGCTCTTTATTATTATTATTATTTTTTGAAGAAAAGACCATTGACTTTTCCCTTCCACCATCAAGTGAAGCTAATGAACTATAAGAAAGATTAGCTAATCTTGGACGAGAAACGCATTTTTAATCTTATCAATAAAATGATTAACTAGGAACAAGGCATAGGTGGTCAGGGTGCCTAGTGCTATAATGTTTGAGGTTTATTTCCACTACAGGTAAATGTCCCTTTTCTCACTAAACAATCCAAAAAACTAAAAAATAAAAAATAAAATGATTAGTTTTGACATGACAGGTTTGAGAACTAGCTCAAGGATTTCTATGTAATCCCACTCCTAGAGTTGTGCTCCAAAAATTAAAATTGATACATGGTCTCTTCAGGAAAGACATTCTAGCTAGACACATGTAGTTATAAGTTTCCGCACATGACGACCCACCAAAGGCATGATACCCCATGTCTAATACTTCAGAAAACTTGACACTTCTTATTAATCCTTCTTCGTGAAATGTTGATATTGAAGTACTCAATGTTATGTAAAATGCCACTTCCCTCTTTTTATAAATAGGATTTGAATGTGTTGTTTTTAAAATGGTAATGGCAACATGGATATTTTAAAGAAGGAAAATTTTTATATAAGGGCAAGGCCCCAAATAATCAAATTAAGGTACACATCAAAAATTCACTAGAAGAAGTTGTGCCCAAAAATCCTCAAATCGACCATCTCGATCTCAAGATGTATGAACATAAGAAAAATTGGATTTCACGCCTTGAAAATACTACCTCTTATGAAACATTTTATGAGCTATGAATTTTCAAGATTATTAAGTGTTCATAGATCTGTTCAATCGACTCTATTTCTGATGCTTTAAATTTTATGATCAAATATAAAAATAAATTTTCAGGCCATCACAAAGATTTCGACACCATTTCAAGGTCCACCATACTTTTGATTGTTTAGGCGTCAGCTTTATACAAATTACACCGAAGAATTTAAAGAGTTATATCCATATCATATGCTGACACAGATATCCAAATCGTGACATTGACTTTTAGGAACACATAGTGTCAAAGATTGCATGAGGCCATGCCACTCTCCATCTCTTCCGTTCCCTTTGTTTTGTTTTTTGATTTTCACGATTTTTAGGTGACTACAATAACTTCTCCAATGAATTATGGGTCTATGTTCTATCTTGCCACCCAATTTGCTCTTGTTAAAATATTTGAGTCATCTCCAACTTGAAATTGTCGTTTTATAATTCCAAACTTAATAATGGATGTTTGCTATGTCCTATCGTTATCTTTGGTTCCTTTTTCATGTATAAATAACTGAGCAATTGCAACATACTTTTTGAACTTCTAGAAATTATTTTTCACTCTATTACCTTCCTTCAGAAGCAACATACCTTTTTGCCCTCTATCACCTTTCTTTTAATTTTTTTTTATTTTTTATTTTCTCCCCATAGTGAGCTTATTGTGGCCTACCATTGCCTATGATGGCACATGACACTCAGAATATTTGGGTCTATAATTGCTTCATCCCTTTTGCCCTCTTCTAACATATACTTATCAATACACTTTTCATTCTCTCTTCTTGTCCCACCTCTCACCAGACTTTCCATGAATTTCCTATGCCCCTCTCCCTCTCTCTCTCAAAGGGAAACCTAAACCCCTCTTGGGGGTTGTCAATCATTTCTAAAAGTCCCTACCATTCTCCCCATGTCACCTCATTCCTTTTTGGCTGCAACATTCGAATAAATCAAACTCTTTCATCATTGAGATCAATCAAAAAAATATGTGTTAGATCTCTTTCAATGTCCAAAAATCAAACTAGAAATTATGGTACACCATGTATCATTTTCAAGTGGCAACCTCTCTTCTAAAGCAGCCATAAGTGGTCCCTCCAAGGTTTGGAGTGTTTGTATCTACAGAAAAGATGGTTTGAGAGCTTAGTTGGATACTAAGGACCTAGTTCGGAACTTGCTAGGGTCCCGAGTCCAAGTTGGGTTCGAATCCTATCCGACAAACCTAGTTAGCACTAAGGTGGCATGCCTAGTCAGCACATTGGTGTTGCGTCAAAATTTATTGTGTTTTATATTCGAAAAGTTTGAAACGAACTGAGATAACATTAGTACATGAAAATTTATTGTATTATGAGAAACTATGATTATGGTTGGATATAGTGATATCCAAAATCACCTACATAAGGAAATCCCATATTATGTAGGTTTGAGATTGAAATTGATAAGTTTCTTAGAGAAAATAGAAATCCAGAAAGATTAGGACTCTTAGGTATATCTCTTGGTTCTTGAGATATATGTAACATCTATTAGAAGTTTTCTATTTAGTGTAGACTCCTAATCTTATGTATATAGGATGAAAGAAGAATGAATAGGCATACCCTATTTGGATCACCATATGTGAAATGCGAGCTTTCTCTAGAGAGAGAGGCAGAGCCCTCCTATGCATGAGAGGCAAGACCTCCCCTTAAAGAGAATAGAGCTTCGTATGAAGAGAAACATCAAGATGTACTTGAGAGAAGAGAGCTTCCTATGGAGCAAAACACCACGATGTGCCTCCTGTAGATTGAGAGGCTGGCCTTTTGTAGGGAGCAGTTACCACGAACATTTTGTGTGGTTTTGATTTCTTATAGAGAAGTGATTCCCATTAAGATTTTAGTTGGTTTCCCTTTTTAGTGTGAAAAAGTCTCGGTTGGGTCTCTTTTTGGACCGTGGTTTAGTTGTAGAATAGAAATAAGACATCGGCTGGGGTTTGCTCGACTGGGTTTTGTCGAGA